CGCGAACTTGTCGCCTTTTTCTGAACAAATTCAACGACATTTCCTGAACAACTCCGATTCCGTTTCCTGCATCGCTCTTTCCCTTCTTGCGAGAAAATTGTTTTATAGATGATGGCCAATCGAATTAGCAGAATTAGCACAACAGTTGAAGAGTAATTTCAATTATGATATAGCGAAGTAATTATTTTATACAAAACTAATTTGTCGATTAATGAAAAGATGCACAGATCTCGGTGGACAGTTTCTTGAAATTTCCCGAAAGAAATTTATCGTTTCAGCTGCGTAAGAATTTTTGATTATTTCGATTATCAGTGCGTTCTCAATCATCGAATGGTTGCCCCGACACATGTGGAATTTTAATCACATTGTAGCAAAGCAAGATTGATGCCACGCACGGGTGTACTAGATGAAATACAAAACACGTTGTGTAACGAACGCGCAAGTGATAATAAGCGCGTGAAAGACGGCGAGTGTTTGATCGTGCAATATGATGACCATTACGCTGACATTCCACTGGCTGAAATTAATGAAGCGGAGACACTTGACGATTACGTACTGTGATAGATCACCCGGTGATACGAGACTAGGTTCTGGATAAATTATTTCCCTACTTTAGCTTATTTCTGTTTCATTGGTAGTTTCAATTTTTGTTTGTAATTAACTTCGAATATCTCACACACGTTTCAAAATATAATATAATAATAATATAATAATATAATATATAATAATGTAATAAATACATAACATCTGATAAGTAAATTTAATTTTTAAAAACGTTAGTTATTTTAGACTAGTTCAATGCTGTTTCGAATATCATGATAGAAAGTAATTAATTGTATTTAAAATTAAAAGGGAGAAGGAAATCAATCAACTTGTTTTTATTAAAATTATAGTTGTTTTAGACCGATTCACTGCTGGATGATACGTCTCGAATGACAAATAGGAAATAATTAATTTCATTTAGAACTACGGATCTACTTTATTTGAAGAGATAAAATGACAGTCGCTTTAGATCAATTGTCTTGTCAGATGGTCGATTAATTAATATCTAATTTCCCGAATGAAACTGATTTCTGTGACATGAACTTTCTTCACGTTTACGCAAGAAAGTAATAATAATCCGAAACACAACGAGAAAAGAACTCACACAAAATTTGTACAAACAATAAATAAAGTAAAGCAATGGTAAATATATATATACTGTTTGTAGTTATTTGTAATTACACGCAAGACGAGCTTGCATTTCAATCCCTTGGATAATCACCAAGGCTAATCGCTCGATACAAACAAGGATGTTCGTTTGTTCACTGACATTTCGCTGGACGTGGCTCTTACACGCGACGCAATCCTGCAAAATCGCTAATAATAAAGTTCCGTATCCATATATAGGAAGTCGTGGAATGCGTCGAAGAACCTTGCTACACGCGCTTCTGCCATTAGAATTTTCTATTTATTCGTTATACATCATCGCTCGGCGCAAATATTTTATTGGAAACGATGACGTATATAAATCGTTCCCAGTTCGACCGATTATCACAACCAACGTGTGTGTTTGATTTTCACAGGCCGAAAACCTCTTGCTTCCGAAAATAAAAATTCATTATTCATTAATTTATTGTTAGTCCCTTGAAATTCGAACACGCTTCAATCTTTCGAGTATCGGAAAGAGAACGTACCGATTAATTAACGTATTCAGTCAGTGCTTTCCCGGGACGAATATCTAGAATCAGCCTGTACATAGGTGTAGCAACGAGACAGAAGGCAGCGAGACTGCTTGCGCAACTTCTTTTTCCGCGAGCTATCCTACCGAGCAACGCACACCGTACCGAATTAACGCGGCAACAGTGTAAACGCGAGTCGCCGCTCGGTTAAATGCCAGCCACACACACAGTGTGTAACAATTGATCGAGGGCCGCCACCCGGATGTCCGAGGACGGAACACGGCCGATTCTCGCGTTGCGAAAAGCCGCGGATCGCGCGAAACAGATTATCCGTATCTGCGAGCGATTACGTGGAAACTTCGATAGACATGTTTCGCTGTTCAACAGATTTGAAGAAGAGCTTTAATAAATTTAGAGTTACTTTAATAAATAATAAATGACCGACGATTGTTTAATTTCATTATATATATATCGATGGAAATAGTTGGTTGTTACAGATTTCAATTCCAAGACTCTTTGTAAAATGGAAATTTTATTTATTTAGATAAGAGTCTTGCGTTGCACTACGAATCATTGTTTAATTTTTCGCGATACGTGATTATGTTTTATTGCAAATAAGATTGCGAATCCTTCTTTTTTCTTTTCAAATTTCTGTGATGATGGACGAGTTTCTATAGTTTGATCGGGTAGCCAGTAGTTGCAGCGTTGTAATAAACATTCCTTATCTGTGTCAGCTGAACTTTGTTAAACCGTGCCTTTTGTAACTAAAAATCACTGGATCTCCACTGTTCTTGAATTCAATTAATTGATAATATATATTTATTCGTCTTTTGCATGGAATTTTAACCCTTTCTTGAACTCAATGTGATTTTCAATCGCGAAAATAATCAAAATACTATTTGTGTATAAAATAGTATAAAATAATACTATTTATGTATAAAATTAAAAATATGAACAACATAAGACATTTTCAATGTTAAAAATTTGGAACACTAAAGAAGAAAAAAAAAAAGAAAATCAAAATTACATTCGCCCAGTAGTGCAAGTAGTATAAACCTACAACGAACCAAGCAAGCAAGTAGACTAAACCTATAAATAGACGCACCACTTCCACCCGTTCAATAATTCATCGTCATAACCATTGACATACCGATCGCAAATGGGAAGAAAGAAAGAAAGAAGAAAAATAATAAAACAATCGCAGACCCAGTTACCAGAATCTACCTATGCACGCCACGCTTGTGCACAATGTCCACAGGCTTAAAACACTCTTTGCTCTTTCTCTCCGTTTCACCTCCGTGTGCCAGCCTATCTCCGTCCTTGTCGCATCCTCGGCATTCAACTGAGACGCCAGACGTTTCTCCTTCGTTCGGAGATTCAAGCCGCTCGATCTCCGTCCGATCTTTCTCTAACGCCTTTATCCAGCGCGCTGTCTCCAACAGCGTACGCTCCGATCCGCTCGTACCTGGCTAGGCCTGGTCTATACGGTCGATTTATACACGGCCACGGTGCGTTCCCACGCCTGCGAACATGCGAGAGAGCCGTCGCTCTTCGGCCTAATGCCCGCGTGGTACCGATCCTGTCCCTACTGGCCCCAACCACTCGAAGAAAACGCTGGAAAATCTGGGACACGGCGTCGCGGTATGCTCCATTGTCTTTCGAGTTCCATGGAACTCGAAGTTCGGCCACGCTCAGAGAATCGGGGGACTACACGTGGTGTTCAATATAGTGTGTTTATTTATTTAAGGGAAGATAAATGGTTTTTTTTTTTCTTTTTCACTGTGTGTCGTAGGGAAAAATTATTATAAATGCTTCGTTTAAATCGTTGCGACAGAAATATCAGTCAATAGTTGTGATTCTTGTAAATATTTCTGTATTGTAAATTCCTGCTTTAAGAGACAATGAATATATATATATATATATATATTTTTTTTTTCTTTTTCTTCAAGCGGAAATTTAAGAACGAAAGTTCAAGGAGATCCTTCTCGATCGTGGAAGTTGATTATACTTGTCACAATTCATGAAGCATTCGTTGATCTTTTGCTACGTGATACTTTAGTCTGTGAAATATAGTCTGGCAAAGTTTGAACATTAAACCTATAAGACACTCTATATATTACGCCGGTTCATAAATATCATGTTTAGTATTCATTAATTTTTTCAGCAATTAAATATATCGCAAGTTATGTTAATATATATTTATAATATATAATAATATCGTATAATATATAATATATATAATAATATGTTTAGTATTCATCAATACCCTTGACTCATTTAATTAATTTAATCCTTCAGGGATTAAATATATCGCAAGTTATCTTAATACATACATATTTCATAAATTAATTAACAAGCGATAAAAATCATTGTTAAATCTTTAAACTGTACTGCTAATTATTACTAGATTATTGTTATTATTTTATTAAATCTATGAAAATTGTCGAGGAATCTAAATCATCAAATGAAGATTTAATGTATTAGATTATATCCATATTTTCTTCTTCTTCCTTTTACGATGTTCTAAATATTACAAAATTTGCAAGACACTCTGTACATTTCCGTCGGATTTTTCGCTTGAAGAATTTTAATCAAAGTATTAATGGCAGTCAAGGAAAATTAGAATCCTGTTAGGAAAAGCTCATACGGAATACGAACATATGTTCGACATGTCTTATTGTTAGGGTCTTGGAGTGCGACAAGTGTTCCTGCTATACTATTATACACTTCTGACAAGTACACAGAGAGTAAATAAATGACTGAGAGTAAATAATATTTCAATATGTGAATAGAACGAGAGATTACAATTTTCTGCAGTCTGTCTATAGAATTTACTGAAAGGAACTAAATAATCTTAACCTTCGTAATTCCTGCAAGTTAATATCCTTGCATTATACTTAGCACTGGAAGGATTATTCGCGATATTTTTATCTTTGACGAATTAACAAAAAATTGATTATTTTTAACTCCTTTTCCTGACTTCCAATAATTAAGAAAAAAATAGATCCAATAATTACAATTTCAATAAATTTAATTATAATTTTGATCGATTCTATCACTAAAGCTAAACGAAGAGACAAGAATTTTTAAAAGACAGAGTAAAGTGAATCTCCAATTTTTTCACAGTTTCACTTTGCAAATTTAAATCATGTTGAACATTTGTTTTCAACAGTCACGCAAGGAAATCCCCATTTCTAGGAAACAATACTCCCTCGAGTATTTAATAATAACCGATTTTTAACATATTCGTTAAATTAATTGCAAGCAAAATTGCACGTTCGAAATATTATAAAAATATAAAGGTCAGAGCCTAGAGGATAATCAGAATGTCATAACTGAATGTCGACAAGAGTGACGACAGGCAAGGGCTTTGATGGCATCATCGCTATCTACAGCCAATTTGCCAGTGCTCATCCTCACGAAGGAGAAACTGTCAACGGTATAAATCATCTGTACAGAACTTAATGCATCAGTAAAATTGGAAATCAATTCTGGTCATCCATATTAATTCCTCCTTTCCAACGTGCAAAAGTAATCTCGTATTATAATAGAAGTCTCTCTCTATGTCTCTATATCTGGTACAGATAGATTCTAAAGAATTAATATTTCAAAATTTCAACAGACATATTGACAGCAAGAGAAATAGTACTTATACGTTTCTGATAAATGTCTTGATAAATGTCTTGCGATTATTTTCAGAGAAACTTCCAGAAGCTTCTTAGACAATCAGTGAAGTAACATACATATAGTGTGCAGACGATTTGAAATTTAGAAAGTATTTCAGTACTGCAAGTATTGCATGTGTTCTTGGACACACTTTGTCAGATTTTCTCCAACTTTATCACTGGAGTTGCTTGAACGAACCCTTGAATGTCTTTTCTGTTAATTATTATTTGTTGTAGGCTCATTTTATTTCTCGGCCCCTAATTTTTATATTTAACTCAACTTGCTGATCTATCATTTATTTATATTACTTTTGTACGAAGGTGTTCTTATCCATTGTACATTATAATAGAAAATAATTGTGAAATGTACTAACAACGTACTGTAATGTACAATGGTAAATATATTAAATAATGTATTTCAATAATAAATAATTACAATTTATAATAGCATATTGTACTCTATGTATTAACACATGTACAATGTACATTGACAAATATAATTAAATAAATGAAACAAGTGAAACAAATAACTATTTGACCACAAGATAAATTTACCGTAAGATCGAAACGAAAGTAAATCAGATTCAATTAAAATTCGATTCCATGTTCCAGGTTGCCCCCCGAACTCAAGGATGCGGTGGACAAGGAGACACGCCAGCAACCATTACTGAAATCCACCACCCACCACCCAGCAAACCGCAACTGCGAACCCAACGAGCCTGGAACCCGGACTCAAAAACAGAAACCACCACGAGGACCAAGTACCAAATCAACTCCATGGATCTAACGGAGGCATTCACCCCGGGAGGGGGTGGGGAAGATCTGCCGAAGACGGATTTCTTCGACTTTGTCGTCTCTCCACCTCCGCACTGCGCCTCGACAGACGGCGTGTCCGACGAAGAGAGCTTCCTTCATCGCACCACGTGCAGAAGCATAGGCTACCTTCAGCAAGGACACGAGGAACACGAGGCGAGCCGCGAGTTGCACGGCTCGCCCTTCATAAAGGAGACCAACAACAACACTCTGACAGCTCTGCCGCCGGTCTCGACGATCACCGGCTCCCTGAGCCATCATCACCACCATCACCACGTCAGGACGCACCACAGCGCGTGCAACGTCCAGCAGAGCAACGAGCAAACGCCCATGGACCAGTCGGACTGCGACTACTGGGCCACGGACGAGAGCAAGGAGCAAACGTGTAACATACTCTTGGAGGACCTGAACAAGTACTGCTGGTCAGCGCACGCCAACGCACAGGGCCACGGGAACGACAACGTGAACGTGCACCAGGGTTCCAACGAGCACCACCAAGGCGTGGGCCGAGGATGCTCGGCCAACGACAGACAGAACACCGACGGAGCGATTTACACGTTGACCGTGTTGAACAACGAGGCCAATTCCATGGACGCGTTGGACTGTTGCAAGAGCCCAGCGCCAACGTCCAGCGATTCTTGGTCCCTGCGGCCTAATTTAGACCTGGACGCTATACTCAGCATGGAACCAGCGTCCACCGAGCAGGAACACGACCAGGGCACCAACGTGACCGAGGTGTCCAGGACGGTGAACGACAGGTTTCATCCGGATCGTTTCTCCGTCGCGTCTTCCCAGTACGCAACCGATGACAGCGGGTTCGTCGAGAGCAAGGAGTTGTGCGGCCGAGGATCGTCCAGCAGCGGTAACTGCGCCGGGGGCGACAACAACAACGACTGGAAACTCTCTGACCAGAATCTGCAGGAGGCCGCGGCCGCGGCTGCTGCCGCTGTCGCGGTTGGAGCCGGTGACTCGGCCGAGAGCCTTCTGAGGAGTGCTCTCCAAGGAAAATTGTACACGGGACCCGCTCAAGTGGTTTCGTCCTCGTCGCCGTCTGCTCAAGGATCCACCATGTCCATGCCGGTGACGAGCAACGCCGGACTGCAGATAGTGTCCGATCAACAACAGCAACAGCAGCAGCAGCAGCAACAACAACAGCCCCAACAACAGCAACAACCACAACAACAGCAGGACGAATCTATGCACACTTGCACCGACGAGGATCTATTACTCTCTCAGCTGGATCAGACGACCTATCGTCCCGGTGACTACGAGAAACTGAAGAGCATAGCCAACGAAGTGGTGGAGTCGTACTGCAGTTTGGAGCCAGTTTGCAACGTGTCCGCGACGACCACGGTCATGTACACCCTGGATCCAACCAGCGGAAGCTTGGGAACGATCACTCTGCCTGCGGACCTGGGCCAAGTGAGCACGGTGACGGTGGTGACCGCGGCTCAGCAAGACGTTCTGCAGCAACAGGCCGCTCCTCGAGCCGAGGTGGAGCAGCAACAGACCGCCAGTCAGCTTCAAATCACTCCGTCGAGGGTGGTCGCCACGAAGGCCCCGAAGAAGTACTGCCGACGCACGAACAGGAACAGCAGCAACTCGAACGCGGCTAGCAACGGCAACAGTGGCGCGGAGACCGGGGGGAGCAGCGGCGGACAGCAACAGGGTGGATCTGGAGGATCGCCGGGCAGCGTGCAACGGAAGGAACGTTCCCTGCACTATTGCAGCATCTGCAGCAAAGGCTTCAAGGACAAGTATAGCGTGAACGTCCACATCAGAACGCACACCGGCGAGAAACCGTTCGCCTGTTCCCTCTGCGGCAAGAGCTTCCGCCAGAAGGCGCACCTGGCCAAGCACTATCAGACCCACGTGACGCAGAAACCCAGCGTCCAGCAACAGGCAGCGTCCGGCAGCGGCGCCAGTAACAACGGGAATAGTGGGAACCCGAGCCCCTCCGGCGAAACTAGCGCCACCACGGCGAGCAACGTGACGAACAGGAGTCAAGCGCACCAGGTTTCGGTCGATCCAGCGGGGAGCGCGTGTAATCCGCCCAGTTAGTCGCGCAACGAGACGACAGGCAGCAGTAAAAACTCTCTCTGGTAGCCGGCGTCTGGTTGGATACGTTCGATCGTTGCTACTTCGTTCTGCATTCACCAGTGTGGTGCACGCTGGTTTTACGGATCTTGCACGACGATGGTGACGGTCAACGAGAAATACACCGTGCGAGTCTTCCTCTGTTATTACCATCTCTCGTTTGTTCTGTTCTGTTTTTTTATTCTTTCTTTCTTTCTTTCTTTCTGTCTTTTTTGGCTCTTGCCACGCTGTCCTCTTTCTCTTCGTTTTCTCACGCTCTTCCACCGGGATTGACGACCACCGGGGGAAGAACGGAGCGTACCATGACCGAGGATCGCGAGACCGAGATCAACCTTGGACTGATTTTTTTGAGAAAGGTCTCGCGATCGCGTCTTTAGGCAGAATTATTCGCCGAACCTGGCGAGGGACAGCAGTTCGAGATGTTTATTCGGGTTGCACGAGTTGCCACGTGGCGGCGCTCGTGAGTTATGCGAGCTCGGTCCTCGACGCTCCCTTGAACGTTTTTCTCTTTAGATATTTCCGATATCGTGCATCGGCCTGTCGTCCGCGTGTTGAGCGATATACTGATGTTGTAAAGTTGGGGAAATTGTTTATATACAGTTATATCGAAGTTTATGGAGTTTGAATATCGAGACGAGTAATTGGAGATGTGTTTTCGAAAGAATCTGTTAAGACGAGTAATTAAAGAGGTTTTTAGCAGCATTTTGAGAAGATTTAGAATTTTAATGTCAGTTGACGATAAGTGATAATGTTTCTAAAAGAAGTTGATTTTTAGGAAAGGAAATTATATAGATATGAAGTTGGACAAAGTTTATCTATATTTTTGCTATAGATAGATCAAAGAGATTCTATAGTAGAACTCCTATTTTTCTAGTTTAATCAGAAATCTTCCAAATTGAATTATTATTCGCTGCAATTTTGCTATAATTCATAACAAACTTATTCATAATTTATTTATAACTTATTCCAAATTTAAAACAGAGCAGATTCTATTGTAATTTAAGGTCACTTTAAATTATTATTCAAATCAAAGAGTTTCTCATAACTATAACTCTGAGCAAACGAAAGCTCTATCTATATTTATATTTCAATGCCTCAGACTTTATACTGCAATCAAGTTCAACAACGATCATAAAAAAATTGTATGTTGAACGATTGTTTAATGCTTCATTTTACAACCTCATTGTATCTCTCGCACTGACTATACCCTCCCGTCTCACGCGCAACAGCGTTTATTAATCGAATGCCGTCCGTAGAATCGCGTATCGTGAATC